TTTTCAACTCCAAAAAAGCACCCCAAGGGCAGACTTTGGGGGGTGGGGGTGGTTTTTGGGAAATTTTCAAATGTAAAGGGGGGTCGTGTTATACCTCATTTTAAAGGTCCTTCAGTCCTGAGTATTTTAGTGGAAAAAGATTTAAATTATCTTCATCCTTATTTACAGGGTGTTCAAAAACGTACAAAAAATAGACCTTTGAACTACTTTTCACTGTAAAGAGGTGGAATTTTGTAGGGGGTTCAAATTTTGATAACACTTTAATTGCTAAATGAGCTTTCAAAAAACTCTGGTTTCAACCCTTTTGCTATCTTTTTACTTATGTTACGCATTTTCAAACTTTTCGAAGTTTCAAAAGCTGTTATCTCAAAAATTACAAATGGCAACATAGGTTTCATTACAAACCACATTGTAGCCCATAAAATTAGCTACAAATTTTGTATTTAATGTTTTTTGTTATCTTCATTGGTTAAAGAGATATAGCGAAATAAGTGCAGGGCCGGATTTCCCAATAGGCCCGGTAGGCCCGGGCCTATGGGCGCAAGGTCCCAGAGGGCGCACGGCCAAGAGGAATTTTTTATAGGCTATCTAAAAATAAAAATAAATAGTCATAGTTTATAAAAAAAAACTTCTGAAGTTCATAAGAAGAAATTATTGTTATGAAATTAAAAATATTATTCAGTATTACGCATTATTTTCGTTACAAAATTGCTACAATTCGTTACAAAATATTGGTTATACGGGAGTAGGCTGTAGGGATGTTGACGTTGACGAGCGCCCAAGGGGTACGCAACGTATTGTCATTGCACTGGGCCACTATGCTGGCTCGTTGGCTGGCTCAGGCTCGGGCTCGGCACTACTGATCAAAGTGTTAAGGGCGGAAGCGTGCTAGACATTGTTACCACCCTCACTTTACAAAACAAAAGTTATTAACTAATCTTTTGATTAGTTTACAACAATCTGCAGGATCAAAAGTTAAAATATATAATACGTTGTGTTGAATATTAAAACAACGATTAATTTACGTTTAAATTTAACGAAAAAATATCAATCTCAGTTTGCATTAGATTTTAGAAACATTCAATACCCTCCAAAGCACCATTAATGCTGTCATTTTCTCCTCAGACCTAAGGATCGGTATGGTTGGCAGGAGTATTGGCTCTGTTTTGCTTTGGAAATATAAACTGAGATGCAGTACGACCATAGATTAAATATAGCTCAAGTCGACATCTCATGACATTGTTAATTCAATATTTTTTCATGTCTAGTTCATGTTGATGATACTGGACGTTAGTTTTAACGTAATTTTGTTTTTATAATTTTAGGGTTAGTTCTATGATTTGTGTTTTAATTTCTTGTAATATAAACAGGAGACGACCTATTGTTGATGATTAGATCGTTTTATTTTGGATAAACTAGGTTTAAACATAGATAAAACGTACTCCTTAAATAACAAGAATTGTTTTCAGCTAATCCAAAATTATGACAAATCTACTAAAGGAGTAGCCTATGTTTAATCTATGGTATAACGTACTGTATGGAGTTCAGGTTTTTGGGCCTGGAATTGGAATCAATGTCCATGTTTTTTTCTTTTTTTTTCAGGAATTCTCGGTGGATTGAATTGTTACTTGTTTTGTTTCAGTCCCACGGCCACAAACGTGAGCATTTATTAAAAGTATAAAATTGCTAACTGTGTTTAAGACGGCATTTTGTTAAGGCTAAACAAGTCAATAAAAAAAACTTGCAATGATTCCGACGAGGAGTGGTATTCAAGCAATTAACTTAGGCCTATGGGCATGATATAGTTTTTAATAAAGGTTTGAAGGAAAGTAACTGTGACCAGACTAGGGGGCGGAAAATGATTTGGGCCTAGGGGCGCAAACGTGCTAAATCCGGCCCTGAATAAGTGTATTTTAATGTTTTATTAAATGGTATTCAAAGTGTTTGCCGTTGTAAATGTACACCTCTAGGACTCAATTAAAATTAATTTTGTCTAAAAAAATAAAATAGTACTCAGATTGTTGATCTTGGAAGATTGATAAAGGAAAGAACACAACTGCAAATATTCTTAGTTATTTTACAATTCCATGGCTCTAATAGTGCTTTGAATGAATAATTTGTTTGAATCAGCATTAATAGTCTACATACCGCTGGACTTCTACAAATGCTTAAATTGCCATCCATTTTGTTCCATGCAAACCCCAACTCTGTTTATAGGCACGTAATACTTCTTCTCCACTATGCTATTTACGTACTGTATTGCTATTTTACTACCGCAGGTGCATTCACCTCTCAAACAGGTCCAGTAAGTTCCTTAAAATTTGTTTTATCTAAACAAACGTGACCAGTTTCACGCACTCGCTCATTGATTTCATGATTTTTTTTATTTATAAGTAGCATTTATAGACAGTATTCATTCAAAGCACTATTAGAACTTTGGAATTGTAAAATAACTAAGAATATTTGCAGTTGTGTTCTTTCCTTTATCAATCTTCCAAGATCAACAATCTGAGTTCTATTTTATTTTTTAGACAAAATTAGTTTTAATTGAGTCCTAGAGGTGTACATTTACAACGGCAAACACTTTGAATACCATTTAATAAAACATTAAAATACACTTATTTCGCTATATCTCTTTAACCAATGAAGATACCAAAAAACATTAAATACAAAATTTGTAGCTAATTTTATGGGCTACAATGTGGTTTGTAATGAAACCCATGTTGCCATTTGAAATTATTGAGATAACAGCTTTTGAAACTTCGAAAAGTTTGAAAATGCGTAACATAAGTAAAAAGATAGTAAAAGGGTTAAAACCAGAGTTTTTTGAAAGTTCATTTAGCAATTAAAGTGTTATCAAAATTTGAACCCCCTCCAAAATTCCACCTCTTTACAGTGAAAAGTAGTTCAAAGGTCTATTTTTTGTACGTTTTTGAACAGCCTGTAAATAGGGATGAAAATAATTTAAATCTTTTTCCACTAAAATACTCAGGACTAATGGACCTTTAAAATGAGGTATAACACGACCCCCCTTTACATTTGAAAATTTCCCAAAAACCACCCCCACCCCCCAAAATCTGCCCTTTGGGGTGCTTTTTTGGGGTTGAAAATAATTTAGCTGAATTCCTTAGGGTCAAAATAGGGGGTTCCAGTTGCAATTAGGTTTCCATTTGCTTTCATTTTGGAGCTATACAAGCCGGCCGGGTGGTCTGAGACACCCTGTATATATATATGTGTGTGTGTGTGTGTGTGTGTCCGTTAGCGCGACAAACTCGAGCAAAAATGATCCGATTTAGATGAAATATGGTACAAACGTGTAAACCTACGTTTATTCGAACAAGTTCGCGATCCAGCATTATTGGAGCATGGGAACGGGGTTTTTTGGGGGTTTTATGGGGTAAAAATGGGGTTTTCCCGTTTTTGACCCTAAAAACAAAAAATTTTGCAATTTCTTTTCAAACCGTTTTGTAGAGTTTAAAAAAAGAAATTATTTAGTATATTGAAGCGCTGTTGTATGCCTAACGGTGACGAAGAAAATTCAAAAATAGTGTAATTTAAAATTCTTATGTTATTCTTATGGAGAAAATGAAAATTGTTGTAGTTTACTTGTTTATGGACATATATTGATAAAATTTGGCAAATTTATTTACTTCATCCTATACTATTGACGTATGGTCAACAAACACTTTTTACCTTCCCTGTAGCAGCAACCCTAAGCACTCGTGAAATCTAATGTTATTTAATAGGGAATAAATATGTCTTATTTATAAAAATATTTTATTAAAAATTTAATCAGACAAGTTGAAATTCGCTTAGTCTGCAGTTTTGCTGCAGCGGGGGTATTTTTTCTCTCTCTTTCTCTCTGTCTCTATCCTCTTGTAGTTTTTGTAACTAATGTTTATTTTGTATCTTAAACGTAATTTTTATATTGTATTTTAAAACTTAATTTTTATTTAAATTTTACTATGTTTAAAGTTTACTCTATATTTTATTTAAAGGTTTCTTTTATGTAAATATTGTAAATACTGTATGATGTGGGAAACTCAGTTATACATGTGACGTAGTATGAAACTATTTTATATTATTTTACCTTATATTAAATGACCTGTTATATTTACCTTATGTGTGTGACTCTTCTTTGTAAATGTTACAAGAAACAGAATAAATATGACATTGAATTGAATTGAATAATATGAGCTGATGTCACCTCACCTGTCTGTCATGTTGGGAAGTCTGTCACTAAACAACACCACTTGCGACGTTGCCAATTCTACCAGGCCGCGGTCTGTAGTTAAAGGTGGCCGTGGTACAATGCGTGTTAATTTTTTTTTTTAGGTTTATGATTTGGCAGTTTAAATGATTGCACAATATGTGTATTGACTGTTAGTAGGAGAAGTTAAATTCAGAAAAAATTTGTTTCAAAAAGGTCAAAGATTCTAGAATGTAAATGGATGGTTATTATGAATTACAACAGGATAAATTATTATAAATTAACATGGTAAGGTTGTAATGAAATAAACAATAATTTCATATTTTTAACTTAGTTAATTAATTTTAAAGGTGGGTAGTTTTCCAAGCGAGGTAAAAACTAAGCAGTCAGTAACAAACTATACATACAAAACTCAACCATTTTATTCTCCCCCCCCTGTCACAGAATTATGACTAAATAGCATTAATAAAAAGTAAAACGTCGGCAGGAGTTGATGAAACATCTCCTAAAATGCTGAATAAATTTGGCGAATACGTATAAACCATTGTGCCAGCTAGTAAACCACTCCTTTTTTGAGGGGACATTTCCATCAGCCCTGAAAGGGGCATTGGTTGTACCGGTTTTTAACGAAATTTGAGATACATAATCAATGATTGGAACTCTTCCCTTAAGCTTTTTGTTATACTAACTTACTCGGTTTAGTTATTATTCCGCCAAAAAGTGAAGAAAAAGAACTAGAGTATCCATTTGAGAGAGAACAGAGAACGAGAACACCATGCGTGCACCATATTAGACTAGTCGTCTCGTTCAATGCCTAATGCCTATTTTGTCTCCACATTGGGTTATAACATTGTTCTTTAACTAATTAGATTAATTTTGTAAATAGGCTAGTCACCTCAGCGATGTCGAAGCGGCAATGCCCTTTCAACGACGACCAGTCGCGACAGTTTAAACAATTCATAACGCAGAGAATGCAAAGCATTAACTCTGACCAAGCATATATGGAACAAATCTATAGTAAGTAAAACAAACCATAATCATTTTTTATTACCATAATCATTCTTTAACAATGAAAATATTACTGACAGTTTTTAGGGGTGGACTTCCATCAGATTCTGTTGCCAAAAACAACCGAAACTGTTTCAACTCGATCATTCTAGGCTAGGCGTAGGGCTGTCAAGAAATTGATATGCCTACATTGTAAGGCATAAGCCTTGTTTGGTTCTCAATTCTAGGCCTATTCTATATGTATGATATGTAGGCCTAACTTAGAGAATTCGGCATGGCTGCAAAACAATGTTTTGCTACACTTATATCTTTAGGAATAATTAGGCCTATCACGGAATACCCTAAGTTATGGTGAGAGAGCCTAGGCAAAGTTGTAGGCTTGGCTAGGCGTAGGTTTAAGTTATCTGTTCTAGGCTACTAGTTCTACCATATTTAGACAGTCATACACTTGCGCTATGGCTGGCAATGGAGCCTACAAAGCTTATCCTATTATGGGTAGGCCTATGCATTGGTAGCCTACCAAGGTAGCCTACATACTAGTCTCAGCTAAGCACAACCTGCAACTGTGTTTTACATCCCGATGTAAGTTACCTGAACCAATTGTGATAGGCCTTTTACCCCTGTTGGTAATTATGTCGACGTCCAGTAAACGCTTTACCCTCCGAGTGTTAAGCGACTCGTAAACATCGTTTTTTGGTTAAGGCTATAGGACTGACTGAATCGGATTGAACTGGATCGAGATTGGTATTGTTGTTTTAGGCAGAATCTAAGCTTGCTCCTGACATCTGTTTCTAGATGCTTTTCATTATAGTTCTGATCATATTGTAACAAGACAGATGACGTGCATATTTTTAAGCAAGTTGGTTAACCCATTGCCCTGGAATTAGTGATGTGACGAGTCAGGTACTTTCCTGACTCGAGTGACTCGACTCGCCAACTGCCGTGAACTCGAGTTACGAGTCGAGTCAGACTCGACTCGAAACTCGACCCGAAACCAATGCATCATGTGAGTCTGCAACGACTCGGAGTCGACCAATAGCGTATCAGCTTTACGAGTCGAGTCGACTCGACTCGAGACGTTCCGAGTTCGTGTAAGTTCGGCATTCTCAATACGAGTTCGTTTTGTGGATCGTGAAGGGTTATACTCGCATTCGGCCAATAGAGTTTCAGTTATACGAGTCAACTCAACTCGCGTTCCGCCAGTAGCGTTGAATTTATGCGAGTTGACTCGTAAAGCTGTGACGCTATTGGCCGAAAGCGAGTGCGAGTAAACTCGAGTCAACTCCTTACGTCCCGAGTTCGTTAAGGTTCGGCTTTCTCCTTATGAGTTCGGTTTCTTGACTCGGCTTTTGCGAGTCGGACTCGTAACGTTACGAGTTCGTGTAGCTTCGGCAATCTCCGTATGAGTTCATACCAACTCGAGTTGTGAATGAGATGACTCGAGTTGACTCGACTCGGGTCTTGACTCGAGTCAACTCGACTCGCCAACTCAACTCGTCACATCACTACCTGGAATGGCTGGCCTCAGCTGTTTCTGAGTCAGCTTGTCATTGTTTACGCAGTGCCGTGCCTCTCAGGTCGTACGGCCAGCACTACTGGCCATTGTAGTTTTTCTGTTAGGTTGGTCACTGTTTTCGTCTAATATTTTTATATTTTATTGAAAACTAATGAAATTGAATAAGAAATGAGACTAAAATGAAAGGTTACTGCTTAAATTCATACATTAGGTAATAAAATATTTAATTTTAAAAATTTTCAAAAGAACTACTGTTGCTATGGAAACGATGTACGATTTCCCTTTCCCTATGAAACTAGGCCTTGAACTAGTTCATTTCTTAGCCTATATCAACAGATTAATCTAAAAACCTTTTTTAGTCATTCTACAGTTACCTAATTAATAATATTTTATCCTGGTAAATGTAACCTCACATCACAGTTTCACATGACAATAACACACTGACAGTTGAGGTTATTTTACAGTGAAAATGGCATAATATGGGGCTGGAAACCTTACAAACTAAAATTTTAATATTCTGTGAATCGAGGTACTATCTCTGTTTAGTGCTGCAGCCTACGGGAGAATTAATAAATAATGTTAAAAAAAGTGTGTTGGATGGCCACCTAATCTGACCGGACGAGCTGACGGGGAAATTAGTAGTGGCCAGCAGTGCTGGCTGTACAACCTGTGAGGTACTGCGTCGTGTAAACATGAGAAGCTGATTGGAATGTCCTTGGTTTAATAATGAGGATGGAAGTAAATAACATTTTACATAACATTTTATGTAACATTTTAATGTAACATAACTTTTTACAGTTAAAAATGCCGTGGCCGATATGGACGGGACTAACATGGGACTTGGTTACATCACGGGAGCTCTGAGGAAAAGCCGGGAAAATAGGAGCGTGGTCAGGCTGTGTTGTGATTGGTCGACCACAATTGCGGCGACATCATGAACACCACTCACGGTCGTGTAGATGTCATCATTGTCTCTTGCCATCGCGGCAAAATCATAAACATCTCCCGTGGCCGTGTAGACATCATTATGTACTCCCGCAGTCACAGAAACGTCTTCATCTTCGTCTGCAATTGCGGGAAAATCTTGAATATCTCGTGTGGTCATGTACATGTCATCACCGTCTTCCGGTATCGCAGTAACGTCATCATCGTCGTCTGCCATTGCGGCAAAATCATCTTCCACGGCCGTGTAAACATCATCATTGACTCCGTTAACGTGTAGACGTCATCATCGTCTCCCGCGATAGCGGCAATATCATGAACATCTCCAGCGGTTCAAGAGTGGTGTAGTATAGTGAAAAATATAATTCATTACATGGTCAAAAAGAATCATCTGAAGAGTGCCGAAATCCATTTTGTATGGCATAAGTTGTTTAGATGATATCTGCAAAGACCTTTAAGTGGAAAATGAATATACATATAGACTTGGTGTGGGGGGGGGGGGAGCTTAAGAAGTTCTGCTCCAGGTTGTAAAAAAAACTCAAAAAACATATGTTTTAGAAAGGACACATTCACTTCTGTTCGAAGGGGCGAGGATAGCAGCGGCTGAAGCCCAGAAGATAAAAGATGGCATGGGATCTGCAACTGATGTACCTGATGAAGATATGTGTTGCGAAGATGAAGATAGTGAAGTTGGTAAGTAACTTGCAATGATTACATTCATAATTTTAAATTTACAAATTTTTGTTTTTTGTTGAACGTGCAACTTAACAAAATAACATAGGCCTAAATAGGTTCCCTTTGAATTTTACTGCAATCTAGTTAAGTTAAGTGTACCAAAGTAGGTTTGCTTGAGTACACATTTTGCCTTCTTAGTCTTCAGAACTTCTGCATGGATTGGCTAGATATGTTGTGTAAACAATTGATCTTGTTTGCTTTCTTTGTTAGATGTCTTTTATATAGGAATAGTTTAGTTGTCGTCATGTTTTAGCGAATTTCCCTACAGGGAAGTACTGTAGCTATTACCGTAGGTGGCACGGTAAGACCTGGACCCGGGACCGATTTACTTTTTCATTTTGATGTCCCAAGAGGCCAAAAACACCATTCGTTCAAATTTTTTTATATATGTATATATATAGGCTATATATATATATATATATATATATACGTCCGTGAACGCGATAACTTGAGTAATTTTTGTCCGATTTTGATGAAATTTGGTTTAAAGGTGTAAAGCGGGATAAACTTGAATGAGTTCGCGAACCAGCACGATCGGACCATGGGAACAGGGCTTTACGGGGGGTTTTATGGGGTAAAAATTGGTTTTTCTCACTTTTGACCCTCAAAACACAAAATTTCCCGATTTCTCCTTAGACCTTTTTAAAGAGCTTAAAAAAAATAATTTAGTATAGGCCTACAAAAGTATTTTTGTTCGATTATTAGTAACGGAGAAAATTAAAAAAAATTGTAAATTTAAAATTCCCACGTTATTCTTATGGAGAATATTGTAAAATGTTGTAGTTTGCTTGTTTATGGATATATTTTGATCAAACTTGGCAAATTTATTTATTTTGTACTAAGCTATCAATATTTTACACAAAAACACACTTTATTAGTTTCCTTGTAGCAGCAAACCTAGGTACTCGTTAAACCTAATGTTATTAAAATATATTTAACTGAAAATCAATTCAGACAAATGGAAATTCGCTTAGTCGGCAGGTTTGCTGCAGCGGGGGTATTTTTTGTCACTTTTGTTTAACCACAAGTTTATAGCTTATTTTACTTTTTTTGTTCTAATATGGAGTGGTTATCCTGGTTATTTTGTCAGGACTAAGAATTTCAGATGTAAAAAGGGTCTAAGCCCGATTTTTATAATTGAGTCCAATTAGGCTTAACATAAATGTTGTAAGTAGTATTTTAAACAAATGCAGTGAATATTTCGGTTTTAAAACAATTATAAGCAAAAATACATGTGACGGTGACTTATTAGGGTGTTCGGACCTAAATTCTTTAAAGTAAACCTAAATAGTACATGTTTAGCAATTCCTGTAAATTCTGTCCTCCCATAACCAAAGTCTATGTAATATGTTGGTTCTTTTACTGTAAAAACAGAAATAATAATGTGTTTCTAAATGTTGAACTATTGGTAACATATTTCAAAAAATCTTTTGGATGCAGTAGATTTTTGGCTAACAGGGTGGAAGTACCCCTCTTGTTAGTTTCTTGTGTTTGCTCATTATTGTGTTATATTTCCTACAGCTCAAATAACCGAAGCTAGTGGGTCAGGCACCCAGGACCCGTCACCTCCTCAGACGGTACCCTCTGATCTCAACCAAAGACCCACCACACCACGTAAATATCCTTTAATATTTCTATCCGTTAATGTTTTAACATTGAGAGACTTATATAATTTGATCTAAATTCTTATAATCTCTAATTTTCACAGTTGGCTTTCAATAATATAGTTCTCATAGCTGTAGAATGTCAGACAAAAATGCGAATCTCCAAAAAAATAGTACTAAATTAAACTACAGAAAACCAACACATGGAGCTTTATTGTGTAATACTTTTGGGTATTCAAATTAATCAGTTAGGTATTCTAAAGAAAACCTATTTAGGCCTAATTTAGTTTACTAACTTATATACTCTCAACTTTTATACCATGTTTCATCGGTCTGCATATATTTTCAAGTTTAACTTAAATTCAAAGGCCTATTATTTTATTTTGTAAGTTCACATACTAAACAAATTCAGGTACTGAAGATTGAGTGACATCAAAACCTTAAGAGCACAATGTTGTAATGCAGCATCGGATTTACGATTAATGAGTGTCAGATTATTGAGAGTTAACTGTTTATCCTAATCAGACAACACTTTAGGGAATGTAACATTAGTCACAAAGTAACTACTGTTTGTTAGTTTTGTTGATAGTGTAATAACTGTGATTGGTAGCCCTATTACGTTGTGGTAGTATTATTTTATCTGGTTTTAGTGCTTTGCTTTTCCTGTATCTTTAAGTTTTATTAATGTGGGTATGCACAGACATTTGTTGTGTTAAAAACTTACTCTGGTAAAGGTCATGTTTTAACTATCATATTTAATAAAAGCCTTTTATAATTTACCCTCTAAAAAATCTGTAACTTAAAAAATTATGTTTTATTTTCATCTCACATTATTCTTATTGTAGCAATTGAATACTTAATACGATTAACTGGTGATGTATTAAATTGTAACTCAGTAGATCTTTGTGTTGAATTTTCAAACTGTTCAGTTTATTTTGTCCAGGATTAGCTTTAACTATAACCTCAAGCTTTCATTCATGTAGACTTCATTTTACTAACGGATAAAAAAAAACTTATTTAGGGACTTGAGAAAATTATAATCCTGGGATTAAAATACAAACATAAAAAGCCTCAAAGCATAGGCTAATGTTGATATTTTGTAGGGATGGACGAGATTGGATTTTTAGTTCGAGACGAGACGAGACGAGATTTTTTATTTCTCATAAAATTTCGAGACGAGATCGAGACGAGATTTCTCTTCTCATACACAACGGGAAATGCACGTTCGAAATTTTTACCTGATTTTGTAACATTGTTAGATGACTGTTTAAATACTAAAATAATGATAATAGGCAAGAATATTTACAATCTTTTATTAAATAACATCAGCATAACATTTTTTTAATAATCACGCCTAACTTATTAAAAATGCCTACGATTAGGAAACATGGTGATATCAGTTAGGATAGATTTCAACTTATCCTAAAATAAAAAAAATCATAAAATAAAAGCAACATTAATTTTTATAAAATAGTTACTTGTTTTGACTTTTTTATAGTAATAAAACATTCCTCACACTGCTTACACTTAACAAAACTTCTCAAATGTTATTAAAGTAATATTATTAAAATAATGAAAGTAATATTTACATTAAAAGAATTAAAGTAATATTTACATTAAAAGAATTAATTAAATAAGAACGCCTTCGAAAAGGAAACGCAACTACAACACGCTCCTGTATTGCGGGTATTGCATTGACTTTCTGCAGGCGTTTTTAATTTTTTTTTTTTTTTTTTTTTTTTTTTTTTCTCGTCTCGATAAAAATCTTGGCCAAAAAGTAATCTCGTCTCGTGTAACGAGATTGAAAATTTCCCGAAAATTTCCCGAAATTTCGAGACTTGACCATCCCTAATATTTTGTCAAACGTATAACTTTTTCAGAGAGACACAAAAAACAATGTTCTTTAAAATTTGAACGTCAGTGATCAGATGGTAACAGTGGTTGCCGTTCAAAATGTTGTCTTGTCTGTCACTGCTCACATTGCTAGCATATTACATCTATCAATTTGTTGCTTGCAACGTGAAGGGACGCTACTTTGGCTTATAAGCGTCAAATTATTCTGCATTTAAATAGCTTACACATTTAAGCTAAGGTGAGGTTTAAACATAAAGTGGGAAAGAAAGAGAAAGTGTTGAATTTCTGGAGTTGGCTGGGTTGGTCCCACCTTCCAAATAGTGCACTGTATTAGTCGTGTTAATACAGATTTTTTTTTCAACACAAATAATTACAACTACCTAGAGACACTTCTTAATGACAAAGACAGCTCATATGTTGGTATCCCTGTTTTCTTTCTGATCATATAATATGCATTGTTCTATAGATTAGATATCGTAGAGGTTTAGTGTTATTGAAACTTTATTGTAAATGGGACTCAACAAGGTATTTTCACAAGTTCAAATAGAGTATGTATTGTAGTTCTACGTTTTTTACTTTCTCCCCCTATACCATAGTAGCCTAAATGGAAAAAGTATTGTTTTCGTCAAAATTTTGGTTTTCGAAGTGATGCTCGTGTGTCTGTGTGTGCGTGTGTGTGGATGTGTACAGAGCTATAGACTACACCTGTTGTCCGATTTTGATGAAATTTTGTATGTAGGGACTAATTCGCGATATCTCCAGGGGTTTTTTTTTTTTTTTAATTTTGATTTTTAATGTTAATTTTCTCATAAAATAACAAAAAAATTAATGTTCTCAAAAATGACCCGAACGATTTTGATAAAAATTGAGAATGCTGCAGCCCTTTAAATTCTGAACAAAATGGTAGAACTCCCTTTTCTGTAAAATTTACGGTTCAGTTATTGTAAATTATGTTATTTTCCCAACTAAAAACCCCATAAAATATAAAATAAATTAATATAAAAAAATAAACCAAAAAATAAAGTACCTATGTCAAAATCCATATAATTCTAAACAACATAGTGCTACCCCCATTGCTGTAAAAATTATGGTTCAAAATGTATTATAACTTATGTTATTCTTCCATAAAAACCCTTTAAAAAACCGAATATAGATAAAAAAAACCCGATTCTGATTGAAACTCTTCTGTTATGGTCCTTCTAATTCCAAACAAAATAGTGCATCCCTTCATTTCTGTTAAATTACTGTTCAAAAGTTAATGAAACTTTTGTGATTTTACCTATTAAATATCTTAGTTACTCTCATCGCTTATCCATGATAAAGGTTGTTACAAGCTAATGGGAGAAAGTATGTGTCAGATTGCTGATACCGTTAATTTGTTTATCAAGTTACGATTTCCTTAAGTTTTTGACAATTCAATGGAGTAGTTGATTTTTTTAGGTACTGGATTCACACATGGTAAAATAATTTCAAACTCTTCTTGGCATAAAACCAATGATTTAATTTTTAATGTACTATTCATACTCTTTGAGCTTTCGGAACCCTTACTTGTTGTGAACTTGTTGAGTCTAATCCACAATAAATTCCCAATAGCTCCAAAACTCATTGATAACCATGCTACAATGCATATTAGCTGATATGCAATGAAGTAAATAAAACAGGGATACCAACCTGTGAGCTTGTTTTGTCATTAAAAGTATCTTATGGTATATATAATTTGGGTTCTGTTTTTAAAATCGGCCTATATTTGTGATTTTCTTGCATATGCTTCAGCCGAAGATCGTGAAAAACTGTGGCAAATGTATCCTGATGTGCTCCAGCGCCCATCTACTTCACGTAATTTTTTTTTGTTTTATATTTTATTTAAGTTATTTAGTTTGTCTATGTACTATACATATTCTGAGCTATCGAAACCCCCATGTTGAGTCTAGCCGACTTCTCCATTACTCCAAAACTCATAGATAACCATGCAACAAAGCTTATTAGCTGATTTGTAAAGAAGTAATACCAACCATATGAGCTTGTTTTGTCAGGGTGTCCAGTGACCAGGAAAACCAGAAAGAGCGGGAACTATACGGGATTATTATGAGGTTGGGAATTAGAGTATACAAAATTTCTGTAATTATGATATTATTTCAGTAATGAGAGGAAATTTGTCTGGTTAATTTTTCATTTTAAATATTCAACAATTATTAAGAGTCAGATAGAACACGTGTGAAATTTTTCTCGAAACGGGAAAATTTATTAGCGTAAATAGCAAAACGCAGCATGTTTTGTTGTGTGAAGACGACAGGCTACAAACACCATTTCCTCGAAGCCATCGAGCCCAGAGCCAGGATTCGTGCTACTACATCAGAAGAACTTACGGTTTCCAAACGACGACACAACGCGGGAATACAACTTTTACCTCTATGTCTAGTGGCATCTAATGTCTGTTTCGGCTGTCTGCTACACTCGTCTAGTTTGACAACTCAGACAAGCGATGTTGTTTTTTTTTGTTTTTTTGCCTAACTGTTGTACAATTGTACAAAACAAAAAAATATTGTATATTGTTTACAGCGAAAATGACACAAATAGTGCAGACCATATTTAATTGTTTTTAATCAATTAGGCATAGTCTTAACACCCCGCCAATCTCCAATTCACATGGTATGAAAATTCTGACTTAAGTAACACTTGATGCGACACGAGGGTGAGAGCTTTGACCTTGATCCAGCGCTTCTTTTTTAGCGCAGTTTTACAATAGGCAAACAAACGGCAAGACGGACGCCGAGTGTAAGAGTATCCCTGACGACCCAGCTTAAGTAAATATAATTTACAATGCAGCAAGCTTTTAATTTTAACACATTTCTAGATTCGTTTTAACTGCAATTCACTGGAAATTATTTTTTGGAATTTCAAACCCGGTCTTAAATCATTTTGATTAGTAGGGTTTTAGTATTCAAAATAATTGTAACATAGAATTTTACTCTTTGTTGTAACTGTAGATGTGAATGGTACAGTGTAAAGTTTGCTCCAAATTGACTTATTATTGTAAATAACTCATTAATTTGTGACGTCCATCAAAATGGTGCAACAAATCACCAGCTCACCCCTAACCCACAATTCCGTGAAACTCTCCCAAGTGCTTTGTAATATTATTTTTGATTCATTCAA